ATGGAATACAAAATTAAAGAAAAAAGTTGCTAATGAAAGAAACAAAAATAAGAAAGAAGAAACACAAATAAACCAAAAGGAAAAAGAATTGAGAACAAACAATAAAGCAAATAAATAAAAGGAGAGCAACGATATCGAGATTAACGACTAGTGCAGGAGGAACTAAAAAGAATTGAGTACAAAAAAATAAATCAGACAAAAAAAGAAACAGAGAAGCATAACGACAAGAGCAGGTGCGGACGGAGAGAAATCAGGAGTGCTGCGGCCAAAGAAAAGTGAACAGTGTAACCAACCTAATTACTACCCCGAAAGTTGAAAGTAATTACAAAAATGCCGGCTGTACCATACTCATGGTACAGCCGGCTGTACCATATAATTTGCCTACATTCGCATACTCCAGAATGTACATACTCCAGAATGTACCTATTAATAAGAAAACTGAAACTTTCTTAACAAATCCTTTGCTTTCAATATTCATAAAAATGTATTGTTTGCATCTTGCAAACAAAATCATACAAATGTCAGAATCAATTTCAGTTTCCCAATTTTTTGGGTTCATAGAGTACAACCAACACCTATTTAAAGGTACATACTTCGCATATCATTACCATTTGAACAAAATTCGCTATATATTCAAAAATCAAAAGTGGGGCTGCTAAATGCAAAATTTTCATCAAATAAAACTTTGAGATTATTTTTATAGTTAGATTATATAAGAACTCACATGGCTGAGCGAACTTTTGTAAAAAAATGAATAAAAAAGTATTCTAGAGTGAATATTCAAGCATAGAATGTTGAAAATGATTTTTCGTACTTGAATGGATATGAAGTTGTAAGAAATGGAGGCCAAGAATAGCTTAGGCAACGTTAAGAATGAAATTCGTTATGAATCTAATGATCGATTGATGATAGAAATGAAGAAGATATAAAAGACATTTCAACGATTTCCGTGGTGATTTCACTGGGGAATCTACTAATTTCTTATCGATAAGAAGGCGGAAAAAATTGAGGGCGAGAATAGGCTAATCGGGTTGTATGTATCTTAATTGTATTTAGGCAAGTTAGTATTTATCTTAGTTGTATTTTCAAGTTAAAGAGTATTGTGAGGCAGTAATTAACTTAGATTTGATTTTTTTAATACTATCTACTAAAACATTAGGGAAACTGAAAGCTAAATCTGGTTAAAACATTGGATATGCGCTGAATGTTTTGATAAAAATTAACATAATTAAAGCAACCTGGAATTAGGATATAGTAACAGACTAACATAGGCATTAGTGAGTATTCTAAATGTAGTTTTTTCTGCGTTTGATCTCTTTTTAGTTTCTTTATTTTTGCTTTGCCTTTGAAACTGATCCGGAAGAAGTGTCAATTAGCTTTTGATATCATTAGTTTTAAATTAACCACATATAATATATGCATTACTTTCTAACTAATACAATCCACTTACCCATGAGATTAATGATCTAACTATCTAACAGAAGTATAAATGTGCAAATAGAGGTGGTCACTAAAAATATTAAGAATCACTTCTTTCCATGGCTAGACACCAAAAATTTGAAGCTCATAGAGGTTATAATTTCACTACCTAATAAATTGAAGCATAACATGCATACTTGTAATGGAAAAGTTCTGACAAATAAAATATTTTACACTTCATTCCCACCGTACATAATATTCTACCTCACATAGAAGTTGAAATGAATAAAAAAACTGAACCGTTAGATAATGGATAAAGTGTTCTAAAATGGATAAAAATGGAATTGAAGAAAAACGCAGAGTGAGAACTGTATTCCTGGATTAAAATGTTTAACATATTAAGAAATAGGGCTTTATAAGTTTAGTTACTAACCAACAGCAACATCCAAGCCGTAATCCCAAAAGAATGTCGTAATCTTAAAAGAATTTGGGGTCGGCTAACATAAATTGATCCATGATATCACTGCTAAAAAGAGAAGAAAGATAAGGGGGAAGTAAGATAAAATGGATAAGATAAAAATATATATCAGATAGCGCTAACATACGAATATAAGAAAGATAAAAGATAAAAAGATAAAAGAGCATAAAAACAAAATAATACAAACGGTCATTAACATAAATAAATCACAATGGTATGTTTCTACTCATTTTATAAGTTTCAATGAATAATTGGAATCAAATTTTAGCAAAAATAGTGGAACACAACACACTATCTTGCATATCATACCTCAAAAACAACACAATCTGAATTCAATCGTGAAAAAGTTCATTCCGGCCAGAATGCTATTGAACCCAGAATGCCAAAAAATCCTGAAGAAAAAGGAAGACCCTTTCATAAACCAAAGTATCAAACCACAACATACCATTATGAATATGGTAAAAGGAAATTAAAAAAAAGAGTAAATGAAATTCATTAAGAGATTTCTCAACATTTACTGAGGTTGTTCTGATTCCAGAAGAAAATTAACCGATCTAGTGGATGATGTGAATGGAGGGGACTTAAGAAGCTTCAAACAATTACCCGTCGCTCTGTTCTTGGTAAGGAGAGATTCAGGGGGTATGCACATGATTGAATTCCTGCTTTGCTTGTGGACCTCTGAGACGGCAAAATTGGAATCAGCGGCGAAAGAGGGGGTCAACGCTGCTGAAGGGGAGCAACACCTTCCATTTCATCCATGGATTATGATTTCGGCTAGAAGTTCTGATTTGAGAAAAAGAATTAATCGATCTAGTGAAGGTTTGAGTGAAGGGGATTTGAGAAGTTTCCATCAACTGGAGATGGAAGAAACAGAAAGAGCATTTAAGAGGAAGGTAGAAGCCGTAGATTGAGGTTAATAAAATCGGACGGGTGATGTGAAGAGTTCAGGTGGGCGGGAAGATCTTTTCTGGAATGATTGTAGTGCTATATTAAGGCGAGGATTTGCCATTTAAAACAGCTCGTACTGTTTAAAAAAAGTTGTAATAGACTAGCATCCTGTTTAGTGGCCCTGTAAAACAAATAGTTGTCATTAGCAAATAGATGATGAGAGACTTTAGGTGCCCTATTCGCCACTGCCACTCGTCTTACTCTGCCTATTGATTCCTGGCTTCTAATCAATGCACTCAATCCTTCAATAGCTAAAACATACAAATAGGGGATAGCGGATCACCCTGTGTGAGACCCTGATGTGGTAATATTGGCCCTATATATGTATTATCAAAGGGAATACAATATGACACAATAGTTAGACACTCCATGATTAAATCAATTCACCTCTTATCGAAGCATAATTTTTCCATGACTACCCGAAGAAAGTTCCACTCTACCTTATCATAAACTTTACTCATATCAAGTTTCAAAGCCATAAAACCCTCTTTTTCCTTGCCTTTTCCGTTTTGGATATTGACGAGTCTCAAAAGCTATAATAATATTATTAACAACAATTTTGCGAGGAACAAAATCACTTTGTTCACAAATAATATCATTAAAAATCCCCTTCATTCTATTTGCTAGAACCTTTGATTTTTTTTTATAAACCACATTGAAAGGGAAACCGGCCGCCAATCCCCTATTCCACTAGGTTTATTCTTCTTAGGGATCAGAATAAGATTAGTTTTATAACTGTCATAGGAATACTCCTCCCGTTGAAACATTTAGTACAAAACGCAACAACATCCACCCTAACTCTCCATCCCAGTATTTTTGATAAAACCCCAGGTTCATCACGTCAATACCCGGTGATTTATCTTGATGCATATAAAAAATCGCCTTCTTAACTTCTTGTTCAGAAATAGGGCGCAACAAGTAGCTGTTTTGCTCTACTGAAATTAAAGACATGTCTTTACTGATAAATCTACCTCCGAATTGAGAGAAGAAACAGATGAAAATAAAGACTCAAAATAATCATGCACCAGCTGTTGCGTTTTACTTCTCTCAACCATCCAATTTCCTTCCCTATCTCTTAACCCAATTATACGAAAATATAACTAAAACAATCATCTTTACAAATTTCAATTAATTTTAAAAAAGTGATTCCAACCTTATCTGACGATTATAACTTTTATCAATTTAATTTATAAATTTATATAAGTGTAATTCGTAGAAAAAATTTATAAATGATGGGAATAATGACACTAATAATACATATGACTTTCCACAAGACAAATATAATACCACTTTGGAAATAAGACAAACAAGTGACTATCTAATAATTAATGTATAAATTCTCACCGTCCGGAGCTCAAAGCATATTCAATGCTACAATGTGTACAGTACACATAGATAGCTACACAAATATTTAGCAAATAAATTATCTCTTTTCTTATTTAAAATAGTTTTATATAATTTTGGTAATGTTTTTTCCACAATATCAAGAAGGCCGTCTAGATGTTGACATTGTGATTGACATTGCAGAGAAAAACTTACCAAAATTGTATAAAATCATTCAAATAAGGAGATAGATAATTTATTTGCTAATATTTATGTGGACGGATCGGATAACTGTAACTGGACGGGTCGAGTAACTGTAACTGGACGAGGGGGTGGATAATCGTAATAGGACGTGTCAGGTAACTATCACTTGACAGGTGGACGTTGGTCACTGGACGAAGTTTTCGGTCCCCAATCGATTTTGTCTTTTTGGTCATTAATGATTTTTGGTCACTAATAGATTTTGATCGCTTTAGTGTCACTGATCACTATGACGTTTCTGTAGCACTAGTGAAGGTATAATAGTCTCCTAACCTTTTTTGAGTCTCATTTTTTGAAATTTGGATAAAATGTCACTTTTTTGTCCATAACTCTATTTTAATACTCACTACTCCCTCCGTCCCATTTTGGTTGTCCCAAAATGAATGTCTTGTTTCCTTTTTTGGATGAAATATGTGGTTCTTAATTTCTTATCAATTCACTTTATTATACTCAAATCTCAACCACAACTTTTACTTTTCAACCACTTTATTAATAATCTTGCCAAATTGAAAGTGGACAACCGGGACGGATTAGTAATATTTTAGACATACCCCTCAATGACAATCAGATACTCCGTATTACTCGTTCCAAAATGGGAAATATGGGATTGTTTCTGTGTGAACTGTGAAGGAGCTTCTTGCCCAATTGTCACTTGTCAGTGAACCCACGTAGCGGCATGCTCTTCACAGCGCTCCGCTGCAATATCTCCGCTAGGCTACTTACCAGTTCCACATTCAATCCCGTCAAACACATCTCTTCCTCTTCTACGTCCATTCATTATCCCCAATTACCCAACCAGTGGTCAGGTCTGCAGAGCTGGAGACATGGGACTCTGAACCACGACCGTTTTTGGGGACCCAATGGACCGACGGTTGAACCACCGTTGCCGGAAAGCTCTGAAGAAGAAAGCTTTGGGTCGTGCCCGGTCGACTCAGGATCTTCTCTGGCCGAAATTGGCGCCGTGGTTCTCTCTACTCCCGACCCGCTCAAGAAATCAATGCTTTCCCACTTGGGTTATTGCAGGTGGCGTGAAAATGCACTGCCCATCGGAGTCTTTGAACCCCCGGCTAAGCCTGCTAGACCTTCAATTCCCAAACTGGTCAGTAATCATCTTCTTCTTTTCCATTTGTGAGATTTATGACTTTATAATGATTGAAGGTGTTAGAGTTATCTTTAGGAGCATTTGCTCGATGGTAATAAGTTATCTTTAAGAAGGGAATATGAGATTATATTTGGTCAGCTAATATGAGGTTATATGAATGATGTGATCTGTTATGTTAGGATAGTCAAAAGTAATGTTGAGACTTTTGAACAGAAAGCAATGGTTCGGAATCGGAGAGATTCAATAGAGTTTCTGAAACTGGAAGACCCTCTTGTCCTAGAGTTTCCTTACTTAGTAGCTTTTGAAATCAAAATAAAGATAGCTCATACTCCATATTAAACATAATGGTATACCAGTATACCACTGAAGATAATCTTACCAAATCTAAGAAATCCATGGTTATCCAATTGCCTGAACAATACCTCATTTTCCTCGATGACAGTAAACTAATACTTCCGCCGTCCCATTGGACTTTGCCAACTTTCTCTTTTTGGTTGTCCCAAAAAACTTTGCCACTTTCCTATTAAAGCAACTAACTTGTGATTCTGCACATTTTTCTCTCCTCTGCACAAATCAACCACACAGTTTTTACTATTCTTATTTCTCACCTACTTTGCACTTGGCAAAGTCCACCGGGACGGAGGTAGTATTACCCCAATTATTTGAAAATCTATACCAAACAAGGTAAACATCACACTACCCTCTTCTTAATATTTGAAAACATACTGAAAGGTAATCATTACCTTCTTAACATTACCGACATAATCTCAGATTTGATGATTTCTTTTGTTAGGAGATATGAGATTATACAAGTGATCCAATCAGTTATACAGAGTAATTGATATTTGGTTATTACTTCAGGTTTCACCAAAGCAAATCCCGTCTCACAAACAATTGGGTTTACCTCTTAACGCCTATATGCTGCATAACCTTGCTCATGTGGAGCTAAATGCTATTGATTTGGCATGGGACACTGTTGTTCGTTTTTCACCCTATCATGAGCTTCTAGGTGATGGATTCTTTGCTGATTTTGCTCATGTGGCAGATGATGAGAGCCGCCATTTTGCTTGGTGTTCACAGAGATTGGCTGAGCTAGGGTTCAGGTAAACATACTATAAATTTCAATGTGTAAAGGTAGTGGTCTTGTATTCTTGATTTGTAGTTTCCTTTTTTCCTGTCACTATCAGCTATGGTGATATGCCCGCTCACAATCTCCTATGGAGGGAGTGTGATAAGACATCTGGTGATGTTGCTGCACGCCTGGCAGCTATTCCGCTAGTCCAGGTGCATATAAGAACACACTGACACTGAATTGGTTGTTTAAGGATAAAGAAATTTCTCTAAATATGTGTAAAAGCGTTTTCGAATTCCAAAATAGGAGTACTATGATTTTGTTCCCTAAATAGGAGTAATTACTGTCATGCTTGGAAAGTATTGCCAAGTATGGCAGTACATTGCCATATTTAAAGTCTAATAATGCCAAAATATGACAGTAGAATTTCAAGTTGCTCCTACTGAGTGATAAACATAATGCTCATATTTTGGATATTTTCATTGCTTTTGCTCCTATTTTTAGAATTTTACAATATCATTATGTGACCGATATTTATTTTGCAATTAATAATTTATACTCCAGACTTATAATCTCGACGCATTTATAAATTATAAGTGATCTAATTTAGCTAAATAAACCTTTTTAAAGCGTGTTTGGGACAACCTATAATCTAGATTATAAGCTGTTTTTAAAAAGTAACTTGTGTGTTTGGAGCAGCATGAGCTGAATTCTATAACCAGCTTATTTTTCGGGGCGTGGGGCCGTGGGGGGTGGGGTGGGGGGGATTGTTTTTTATTCTGATCCTTTTTTAAAACCTGATTCATCAATTCATCAACTAGTTATATGCGTAGTAGTATATTACAAGTTTACAGAAAAAAGTAAAACTAGTACCCCGACTACCATTGTCTGATTTCATGCTAAAAGATTTTAGCTTTTAAAGAAAAGTGAAGTCATGGCAAGCTCAATTAGATAGAAATATCTTTCAGCCTCCAAATATTATGGCCATCACCATAAAGCAATGCAATCTTTCTGTCTCCCCCACCCTACCATAGCTTTCGTTTCATCTTCTTAATTTCATAGGAGGCTAGAGGTCTAGATGCTGGTCCTCGGCTGGTGCAAAAATTGATTGGCTTTGGAGACCATAGGACTGCCGACATTGTGGATAGAATAGCGACTGAAGAAGTAGCACATGTGGCAGTTGGTGTATACTGGTTTCTTGCTGTTTGTCAGAAAATGAATCGCCCACCTTCCTCTGCTTTCAAAGGTCCATTCTATTATGGCTCTAGAGTTAATACTCAAATTTGCCCTGTACACGATTACTCAATACGGTCTTTGTTTTTCTCTTGGACTCAATTTGGTCTGATTATTAAATTTGGATCCAATTGAGTGCTTGCTGCTTATTCATTCTTATAAAAATGTCTACATTCACAATATTTCTGAGAGGAAAAATACCCCCCCCCCCACCTCCTTGTAAAATCAATCTTCATTGCAGACTTGTTGGAGGAGTATGATGTGGAGTTGAAAGGACCATTTAACTATTTGGCTAGAGATGAAGCAGGGATCCCAAGGGAATGGTAAGTGAAAGGTAATCCGTGATACAATGGACATAGCTGCCCAAACAAACTTAAAGAACCTTGTTTCATATGTTGTCCAGGTACGATCCTTTGTCAATAAAGAAACAAGAAGATCAAACTCAGCTTTCTGAGGTACCTTATCCATATACTTTGGTGTTGAAATTCTGATACCAGCTTTAGTAATTTTACATGAAAACAGTATAAAGAAGTTGGAAATGCCATAGGTGTATGACAGACTGGCATGCATAATATCAATGGAAAAGGAGAACTCTCTAATTTAAAGTTGATTCAAACTTGTTGATCTGGTGGAATCAAAGCGTGTGGATTTCTAGGAATCAAAGTAGAACCAAAGTTGATTATTTACTGCAATTTTGAGAGCTTCTATATCCTTGTACAGTTTGAATTGCGCTGTGGTTGGTGTGCTGACATCTGACTTAAATAGGTTAGACATGCCCATTCCCCTGCATAAACAAACAACACAAATAGTGAATGTATAATCAATTAATTATTAATATAGTAGTAATACTAATTATATTTTCCAGTAACACATTGTTCTTTGTGCTGTAATAGTTGTAACACTTTGATTTTTACCCTATTGAGATAATCTATTTTAACCATATTTATTTATTAGTCTTAAAGAATACTCTGTATTATGCTACTTCTCTCAGCCATTGCACACCACTAACAGATACACATGTTTATCTTGAACAAAGCCTTCATGTATATACCAAAAAGAGTAGTAATTAAACTCTTAAGATTTATAAGAATACTAATTTACGTTCATCAAGTAATATGATACACAATCTGTCAAAAAAAAAAAAAGTAATATGAAACACAAACTAATTTGTTCAAACGAATTTAATTTCATAAACTATATGAAAAACACGTATTAATTAATAATGTGCAAATATATACTACGTAATAAAGATTTAAAAAAAAATTACACGAATTTTTTTAACCAAATAATTTTAATTTGGTCCGCTAGCATGTATTCTCAACAAGTACGCACATCACTTGTTTAGTCATTAATCAAATTGATTGTTACACACCTAACTAGTAATTATATTCACTAACATGGCAATGAACTTAATTGTTAATAAATGTTGGTCAATTATTAACATTAGCTAGTACGCACATCACTTGTTTAGTTATTAATTATCAATTATTAATTATAAATTGATTGCGAGGGGCCGAGCATCCTTTAAAGAGACGCCCGAGTATGCTGATGGTGCATCTGGATTCAATTAAGTCCGGGCTGCAGTTCCCTCTTCATCAATTTTATCTTGACTTCTTCCATCGATATCAGGTCGTCCCCGCCCAATTCATGCCGAACTCCTTTCGGTTTATCTCGGCCTTTATTGCCTGGTGCTCTGATATGGGTGTAGATCCTAGTCTCGACCTTTTTCTCCACTTTTTCAAGGTTTCCCGCCAAAATTCAGATGGATTCCTAAGGGTCAGTGCCCGTCCCGGACGGAGGTTATTCCATGGGGCCCCGACATCTTTCCATGATTGGAAACATCAATTCTTCTTCCTCCGTTTCCCTGAGGGTCGTTTTCTGGAGCGGTGGAATGGTTATTCGCTGAAGATAGGGCCGCCGAGCCTGACCGATGGGCTGGAGGAGGCCATCAACAAGTTGAAGAAAGGCGGCTCCGACTGTGAGAGTAGGCCTGTCAATGGGTCGGGTCCGGGCCGGGATGTAGTGTTCCAAACCCGGACCCGCTAAGTAAATAAGGGACCCGGACCCGGACCCGTTTACCCGTCGGGTTTGCAATTTTGGACCCGGACCCGGACCCAACGGGTCTCGGGTCTGGGTCGGGTAGACCCGCCATTTTTTGGAAGATTAGACCCACCAAATATAAAACAGAACATGTATATGAATCATGAATGTAATGCAATTCCACAAACTACCTACATCTAGATCTCAATCATCCTTAATACGGAGTAATAAGTAAAACACATCTTTATTTTTTTTAAAAAAAAATTGATGTTCACGTAAGAAACCAGTACTTTCATCCAAACGTATTGAATGTCTTTGATAGTGAAATAAACAAAACTAAAATAGAATATCCCAGTTTGTTTTAATATGTATTAATGGGATACTAGTTTTAGGTATGTATTACTATATTAGTATATGAAATATATATTAATAAAAAAATTATAAACGGGTCCGGGTCCTTAACGGGTCGGAATCATATGTACCATACCCGACCCATTTATTAAAAATATTAACGGGTCCGGGTTCGGGTCCGGATAAACGGAATAAAACATAGACTCATACCCATTAATTAAAAATAACCGGGTCCGGGTCGGGTCCGGGTCTAGACCCGACCCATTGACATGCCTATGTGAGAGTCACTCTCAACCATCGGCGGTTACACAGCTGGAGCCGGGAATAAAATTCCTCACAAAATCTCTCACAAAAAGCTTTTGTTAGAGTTTTTTTTAAACTGCGACTCGTGACTATTTTAATGTTTCTTTGTAGACGTAGTGACTAGTGAGGGCATATGCCCCCAGGCCCCAGTTAGGGGTGGACTCGGGCCGGGCGGCCCGGCCCGGGGCCCGGTGGGTCCACCGGTTCGGTTCGGCCCGGCCCGGCTGCTGGGCGGTTCGGGCTCGGGCCCAGTTTTTGGTGAACCGGCCCGGCCGGTTCGGGCCGGTTTTTAATTTTTTTTTTTGAATTTTTTTAAGTTTTGTGTTGGATTAGGTATTTTGGGCCATTTGAGGTGGTTTGGGGTGGTTTGGGGTTGAGGGGGAGGGGTTGGAGGTTAAATAGAAGAGCCAAAAAAAAAATTAGAACCGGTTAGGCCCGGCCCGGCCCGGTTTGGACCGGAACCGGAACTGCCCACCGGCGGTTCGGGCTCGGGCCCAACTTTCCTGGCCCGAGGCCCGGCCGGGCCCAGGCCCGAACCGGGCCCGAACCGACCCGAGTCCACCACTAGCCCCAGTAAAAGATATGAATGCTTTAAAAATATATATATATATGCTCGTAGTAGACCTAAGCAAATGCACTCGTAGAAAAAGAAGATATGCTCCCAACCAATTTTTTTTTGCATGGACCGATTGGATCCCAATAATATGATTTTGATATAGTGGGTCGTATTAGTTTTATAAGTCTTTAATTATAGTTGATAATTTGGTCACCTGCAAAATAGGTAACACATTTTTCATTGGGAGAATTTTAATTTGATTTCACAAATAGTCATTTTATTTTCCTTTTATTTTAAATTCACACTAGTTTTAAAATTATCTGAGAATCCATTCCCAAATTTGTAATATAATACTCCGTATGTTTCCACTTGTTGATCTAGGGAATGGGTGATAGATTAACAATTATTATTACAACGTTTAATTCTAACGTCAATCAATGCCTAATTTTTCATTTTAAATTCTTAAAGATGACTATATCAATTATCATGACACTACACCACCAAATCACGGTAATATATACCGTACAGCCGGCTGTATCTAGGGCATGGTACAACCGGGTTTTTTTGTAATTAAATCCAAGTTTCAGGGTAAATGTTAGGTTAATGCCTGCTGGTGCTTTTCTTTTCCCCCACTCTTCTGCCGATTTGCTTTCCTTCCCCCCAGTGCTCTTCTGCCGGTTTTCTTTCCTTCCCCCCCAGACTATGGCTTTACTCCGTCGTCTTTTGTTTTTGGTTCTATTTTCTTTTCGTTGCTTTTCAATTTTCACTTTCGTTTCTGCTTTTCACTTTTTCGTGGCTTTTCATTTTCCATTGTTTTCAATTTTTATTGTTTTCTTGTTTTAGTTCTTCGTTTCTTTATTTTTTCTTTAACATGCTTTGATTTTTTATTCAATTATAATGCAAATATATAATCTAAAATATTGTTGATGTTCAAGTTTGTTTTTTCTTGTTTTTCCTATCAAACTTCTAATTTAAGTATTTTAAATTTGTGCATTATAAAACATTTTAGGTATTTAATAGAGTATATAGACTCAGACCCTGGGTATCACGACTATTGGGCTTGGACAACGGCCCACATACGCTCAGTAGATAACATTTATCTCATTGTACACTCTATTTTATTCATGTATACCCATTAGAATAGATTAAATATTAGAATAGATTAAATAGCATTTATTAGCCATTCATTGGCCTTTTATTGTAACCGGGCCTTCCAGGCCCAAGCCCCGAAGCCCAGACCCATTTTTCTCCTATAAATACTCCCTATGGGAGCCATGTAAAGGGTTGGAAGTTGGAAGTTGGAAATTCATTTATACATATGACTTTATCTCTCTAGCTCTCCCTTCTCTCTAGATAAATAATATATCAGTATTAATGTTTTGTTCTTCAATTTTTAATTTTAAGATGACTACTTGTTATTTTATTAAATATTTTGTGCTAATTACTAACATGAGTTATGCTCAAATTAGCACTAGACCTACTCCATATTGAGCTCAATCCGTATTAACGTTTAAAATTAGCATAACATCAGTACGGATTGAGCATATGTAGCTTATTACAAAATAAGCATTAATATGAAAATAATACATAAATGTACATTACTGTTAAAAGAATTGAACACACATAATTAAATATTTGAGCATACATAAATGAATAAATATATTTGAACATATATGCTCATGTTGTAGGTTACGTATGCTCACCTGGTATTAGTTTATGCTCATTCTAAAATGACATATCAATGCATATTTCAAAACTATCACATTGCATTAACATGAGAGTTGATTATAGACACGAGAGGAGAGCTCATGATACTCAATTGCACGCTTATAATACTCAATAGAGAGGTGTTGATGCTCAATGAAAAATGTTTGATGCTCAACTAAAGATGCTTATTATTTTCATATCAATGATTCAATGCTCATTTTGTAAGTTACATATGCTCAATTGATAATGATGATATGCTCATTTTTAAAATATCATATCAATGCATATTTCAAAAGTATTATATTACATTAGATTCACATATTGAACTTCATAGGAACTGATAATAGATATAATTTAATAAGTTTTTATAAAAGAAAAAAAAAGTGAATTAGAAGATATGACGCAGAGATTATGATGCTCAAATGCTCAATACTAGACTCCTAATAATCAACAGAATAGGTCTAGCGCTAATTAAAAGTTCATTAATGCTCATTTAACATAAACCATTATTTTCATCACAATATAGGAGGTTTGATGCTCAATAAAAATGTCATGACCCCCAACTAACAAACCTTACGATTTTCATATTTATGCACATTTTGAAAGTTGTGTATGCTCATTTGATACTGATATCATGCTCATTTTTAAAATGACATATCAATGCATATTTCAAAAGTATCATACTACATTAAATTCGCATATTGAAGTTTATAGAAGTTGATTATAGATATAATTTAATGAGTTTTTGTAAAAGATTAAATAAGAAAAAAATGAAAGTGAATTACAATATATGAAATTGATATCACAATACGCATTATTCGACTCTTAATACTCAGTAGAATACGTTTGATGCTCATTAAAATGTACTAGTTATTATAACGCGCGTTGCGCGATAAGAAAATGCCCAATGTATTTGCACGATAAGAAGCCATAGGATCATGTTTTCCACAAAGAAATAGAATGTGAGGATCTGGCCATTTCCAAATTGTCTGCCAAGATAAAGAATGAATCCTCAAAAAAAACCCAGAAATAAGTACAAGAACTTATCACAATTTCTTAAACTTCCACCCCAATTCACCTCTCGAGCTCCATTCTTTTATAATGAATTTAATTAGCTATTTAGCTTTATCGACTAACCATCCAACCCAATGTGCAAACCACATTCCCTAAACTGCATGCCTCAATCGGTTTTGATCTATAAGACTTGATCATTTTTTAATCAATTTTGTCAAGCAGAACTGATGCATGTTGATGGATAATAATACTGCAATGTTAATAGTAAATAGTTTGTGCTTCAATTTTCATTAAGGTGATATCAGTAGCACATCTGCTTACTAACCGCTACCAACAACTCAAACACTTCAAAGAACCGTACATGCATATTCACAACTCAAGTAGAGAACACAAATAGGAAAATGCAAAAGTAATTATATGATGCACATATTTGCCATTTATTTGATAAGTCTGCAATCAAAGAAAATTATACTACTTAACGGTTGATGTAATTATGTAAATTGGCCAGTACCTAAACCATAGATTCTTTCACAGAGTAATAGTTACATGGGCAAACTAAAAAGTAACGCAGCAGAAAAGCGGGTCTGAATTTCAAATGGAGATATATGCACTCTTAAGGTTCAATTGTTTTTTTTTTTTTTGCAATTGTGCTACTACATACATACTGCAACCCTTGACTAAACTATTTCTTACCAGAAGTACATGAATCGGTAGAACATTTGACAATCAGAATGCAAATAGAAGTTAAATTCGTAGTCCAAGGTTTTATAATTGGAAAATTAAAGTTAAATCACTGATTTGACAGGGGAAGTTGTCCAAAGAGCTGATTAATTTGTTTTTGCAATCAGTCCCACGCTCTTGGTGCTTGGTGCTTCTTTTCCTCATAAGGCATGTTATTTGCGATAGCCACATGTTATAAGGAGTATCTCATACGGAGTATTAAATGGTTTACATTGCAAAGTAACTGAAGAGGTAGAGACAATTAGATGGTCTCCTATGTGAAAGTAACGGAGGAGATGGGAGAATGATCAGATGGTCTCGTTCTTTAGTTGGGAAGATAACGGAGGAGACATGGATAAATAACGGAAATAGGAGCTTAATAACAAGAAGTACAATAGCTTTTGCATCATGTACAATATCATATAACTGTAAAATTACACCAACACATTTTTCATATCCAAAATACCCTTACCCTCATTCATGTTTATAAGATTTTAGATTAATGCTCATCTAACGAAAACCGTGATTTTCACTCAAATTACGAAAATGCCACCATTTTTTAGTTGTGATGTCAGCTTTCTTGTA